TTTCCTACTTCTACTCCTTTAGACCTTTTCGTCCTATATCACATTGTCAGTTATACAGTTTGAACCTTATTTACACTTTTAGTTCTTCACACCAGAGAAACTATTCAGTATTTACACGTGTGTCCTATTTATTTCACTTAAGAGTATGGCCTCAGTGTGCATCCATTTAGCTATAAATGTCTCTGGTTTCTCATTCTTTATGGCTGAGTAGTACTCCATTTTAGAAAAAAACCACATCTTCTTTATCCATTCTCCAGCTGATGGGCAATTGGGCTGTTTCCAAGTTTTAGCTCTTACAGACTGTAAACATGGATGCGCATATATCACTGTGAATGGAAGGCTGTTTCTGAGTTCTTCTGTGGAGTAGTCAGACTCCCGTTGTCCCTACCTAAGGCAGACACTGAGAGAGGCCCAGGATCAAGTGTCCGATTGAGAGGAGGCTGGAGTGCCCTGGCGGGAGGGAGAAAGAGACAAAGCACAAGGGATAAGCAGATGGGAGGGAGGGTAGAGAGGTAGTTTTGAGGTAGAAAAATACCTTAAAATGTGGCTTGTCATATCAGTTTATTTTGCATTTGTAGAAAATAAACATTTCTTTATGTGCTATTCGCACACCTGTAGTCCCAGCATTGGGGAGGCTGAGGCAGGAGGATCACTGAGAGTTGGAGACCAGCCTGGGCTGCATACTGAGTTCAAGGCCGGTCTGAAGTACAGAGTGAGACGTTACCTTTAAAAAAGAAATGGTGATATATATATCTCTATTACTCTGTAGGAAAATACAGATTTCAAACACCAAAGTATTGTAAGAGTTTGTCTTTGGATAATGGAATTATATGTCTTATTTCCCTTTATGTTTTTAAACAATGAACATGCATTTTTTTTATGTCATAAAATTAATAGAAAAATTTCAAGAAAAATAATACATTGATGGGTGAAGTCACAGCCCTTGATGGCAGGTGTGGGGGCTCCGTTCTCCAGGGTCGGGCTGCTCTACACCTGACGGTTGGCAACTGGGGGGCAGAGCCCAGAGCCATCCTGCTCACCAGCCCCTCCAGTCCACTTTAAAGTTTAGATTGTTTATAATACCTAATATAGTATAAACAGTGCAGATAGTTATTACACTATATTGTTTAGGGAATAATGAGAAAATTGTTTAGTTCAGGTGCATTTTTAAAGATTTCTTTGTGCTCGAATCCACAGATGTAGAAACTATATGGTATTTTATAACTTGATTTTTTTTTTTCACTTGCGGTACCAGGGATCGAACTCAGGACTTTGTGCTTGCAAAGTGGGCATGGTGCCACTGAGCTACATCCCTGGCCCTTGATTTGTGTTTTCACTTAATGATATTCTTAGCATCGCTTCGATTACTTTGTATTAGCTATGTTGCTTTTTACCTGCACTTTTTAATCCTTAATTTCAGTCTCAAGATTCTTGCCCGTTTGATGACGGCTAAATTCTTGCATACAGAAATTCGAGAAAAAGGGGGTGCTTATGGTGGAGGTGCTAAACTCGGCTATAATGGAATTTTCACATTTTACTCCTATAGGTGAGTTGTCATTTTCACCATTTCACATGTGAATATACACACAGCATCTCACTTCTCATAATTGGCTCTGTAAGTCTTCCATTTCCTGAGGCCCCCGCTGCCTGACGACACGTATCGTAACACTCAAGGGCAGCCCGGCTGTGGCCACTCTGAGACAGTTCTCCATGTCCCAGCCCCCTTGAGTTCTGCCACACCTGGCCTCATGGTTAGACAAGGTGGTTGGAACAGAACACGAACCGGGTCCTCGCTTGCATTCCCCGAGAAGTGCTTTTAACCCTGTGTCCGTGTGCAGAAAGGATAGAACGTTTTCTCACAAACTGGTCACGCATGCAGGGAATCTCTCGACTATTCTGAATGTGTCTTGTGGGAGTGAGGGTTTTGATGTAACCTTTATCTTTCCCAGGATCTTCCATAATCTCATTTTTATGCTGATTTTCCCCCATCCATGTGGTGTCCTCTCCTGAGGAAAACCATGGAAACACATATTGAAGTCATCTGGTGGTGAGGCTGGGCAGATAGACCAGGTCACTAAAGTAGAGGAGAGAGTGGAGAGATTTCTCTGGTGAGAATGAAATCTGTGCAGAGATTTATTTTTTTGGAGTATGGAGTTAGAATAGATCCACTAACAGAAAATGTTCAAGAACTATTGATACCCTTTTGTTATTGTTTTCCCACTGGTAAAAATACTCGAATATTAAACTCTTTGGGTTTTCCAGGGACCCAAATTCAATAGAAACACTCCAATCTTTTGAGAAGGCTGTTGACTGGGCTAAATCTGGAAACTTTACACAGCAGGACATCGATGAAGCCAAACTTTCCATTTTCTCTGCTGTAGATGCTCCTGTTGCTCCTTCAGACAAAGGTATTTTGAGTGCATGAGAGCCTTGAGTCGTGGTATTACCAGACAATTCCACATACGCAGTTCTCTGAGTTACTGCTTCTTGGCATGCGTGGACCACAAGCAGCAGCTCTCGATTCAGTTTTTCTCATTTCTCTGTCCTGCTTTGTGATAGGATTTTCATATTTGACCACCTAAAGCATGACCTCGAAAACATGAGTCTTGACATCCAGTCAAGGAAAGCAGCCAGGCGTGGTGGCACACACCTGTAACCCCAGCACTCAGGAGGCTGAGACAGGAGGATCCCTGTGAGATCAAGGCCAGCCTGGGCTACATCGTGAGTTCAAGGCCAGCCTGTACTGCAAAGGGGAGACCCTGTCTCAAAAAAACCAAAAAAGGGGACACCTCGCATTTGCTTTTTCAAATGAATCACATCATCTCAGAGCTTGAGTTATCTGAGGCCTCGTAAAACCAAGTGGCTGGCCCTCAGTTAGGGTTGCAGCAGGGTGTTCTGACAGGGTATGGGAATGGCCACATCGTTATGAAGTGCTGATTCTGATCAGTGTTAGTCTTCCGTAGTCTCGAGTCTCTTCCATACTCAGAGTGGGAGTCTGCAGGAGTTGGTGTGGTGTGGCGAGGCAGGAAGTGGAGGTCAAGGTTTGCTCTCTTCCTCCGTGCAGACCCTTTTATTGACACATGCTGAGAGTGGTGGTGTCAGTGTCCGCAGTTGTGAGCACAGACACGCAGTGCAGGCCATCTCCCAGCCGGCTCCCAGCTGTGCTGTGCTGTCACTTCCAGGCTTGGAGCACTTCTTATACGGCCTCTCCAGTGAGATGAAGCAGACGCATAGGGAGCAGCTCTTTGCCGTCAGCCGCGACGGTCTCACTGCTGTGAGCGACAAGTGAGTGTGTGTGGGGGTCTTCATGTGCTTGGCGAGGGACGGTGGAGTCGGACATGAGGCGCCCTGCTGACTGGCAGTGCGCCATGGAGAGACACCCCTCACTCATGGTCTTCCTTGCAGGTACCTCGGAGTTGGGAAGAGCACACACGGACTGGCTGTAGTTGGACCAGAGAATGAGAAAATCTCTAAGGACCCGTCATGGATAGTGAAGTAGATGGCCACGGGTGCTCAGGTCTGACTGCTCAGGAGCTCAGCCTCCTGAAAATGAAGCCTGTCAGTTAACTTCAACTCGGGATATCAGAAATGTTATTTTTTTCCCCTAAAACGTCATGTCTGTCTTAAAATTTGACCAAAGATATTAACTAGCAAATTGGACAAAAGTTTTTTGTCTTAAGGAAATACTGAACCTGAAGAAACTAAATAATAATGCATTATGCCAAATATAAATGAAGTGGAATTTTAAAACTTACTAATCCTAGAACATTTATTTTAAAAATAAAAGTCAACTCTGACCTAACTGTGCTTTAGTTATTTTATATGTTTTGCAAAAGTAGTCTGTTAAGTCTTTATTTTTTAAAAATGAGTAGAAGGCCCAGCAGTCACCTGGCGAGATGTGGGAGAGGTGTGATTATGCCACAGATGTGCAGAAGTCTGCCGGACAGACGGGAGTCCGACAGGGCGGCCCAGTGGGATCCGTGTCAAGAAGTAGGTGTGTTTGGTTAATGAACTCGAGCTTTTCCCATTTTATCTTCACTGAGCCAGAAAACTCAGTACCAGCTGTTCCTTTATTACTGTCTGCCCACATTTCCCATACAGAACTTATTTTTGATCATCCCTTCCCTCTCCTTTATAGAATGTTTCCCCCATTTCTGGGACACAGATGTCTACATGTTGCCTTTTGGAGACTAGATCTGAGAGCACAGAGGCGAGAGAGATGCTTCTGTACCCCGCCCGTCACCCAGGGTGTCACCACCCTTCTCCACTGACAGCATTTCCGAGTCCTCTGGAGAGTTCAGATTCAGGTCCCACCAGCACCATGACTGTCTTGGTCTGGAGGAGATGCTGGATGTCACATTCTTAAAAAAAAAAAAAAAATGCTTGGTAGTTGTAATGTACATCG